AATTTATCATGTTGAGTTAGTCTTCTTTTGTTTAAGCATACTATTTTAGTTTATCTTGTGATCTTAAAGCTAGAAGTGGTAGTAGTAATAATATTAGCTTTTCATCTCTACTCATGCATGCTTATTTTAATGTAATTTATTCCTAAAATTAACTTGTTCAAGATGTGTTAAGTTGTTTTTATTTAGAGTCAATCTCTAGATGTTTGAATAACTGTTCGAGCCTCCGAAATTTGGAAGGAAAATTGTGTTATTTGCTCTTTCTTTTGATTTTAGTTTTTTTTATTTCTTTTAGTCCTGTCATGTGCATTGGTTCTCTTATAATTGACTACTTAATTTATTTGTGGGAATATTTGGTTACCAAGACCACAAACATTCCATAGCTCACTTACTTTATTTCATGTGTTGTTTAAGGAATTTATGTTCCTTAGTTCTTTAACTCAATTCAAAATTGTACAGTGGCATATATGTTTCAGCTCATCGATTTTGGGATTGTTAAAATACAATGTCATTTGTTTTAAGATTAACTTAATCACAATTAATTAATTTAACATCACGGATTCGCTTGCATAGCGTGATATTTAACATTCATCAATTCATGAACCTCATACCGTACCCAATAATTTTAGTTAATTTCTAATTTAACGTAGTAATAATTCTTGTCATGACTGTGAATTCGCTTGTGTAGTACTGTTATGACAAAATAAATAAAATTCGTCTCGGTCGCACTATCGCTTGTGTGGTATGGTTAAGACAATTTAATATCATTCAAATCTTTCTTTAATTTTTTTTTAATAAATAAAAGCGGACATATAAAATTAAAAAAATCAAATTAAGCACAGTTTATCCAGAATTAATTCAAGCTAAGTTTAAATCAGTAAAGCGACCGTGCTAGAATCACGGGACTCGGGGAATGTCTTACACCTTCTCCCCGGTCAACAGAATTCATTACCTGAACTTCATGTTCGCAGACCAATAATAAAAGAGTCAAACCTTCCTTTGACTAGGGATTCAAATGAAAGGTGACTTGGAACATCGAAAAATCAATTCCAAGTGACGACTCTGTAAATAAAATAATCTCTACTCAAATTTGTCACTTTAATTAGAAAAGCTCTTTAATCCACAATCCATAATAACATTTTACATCCATATCTTTTGGAAGGGTAAAAGGGGTGTGACACTCGTTTAGTGTCTGCCCTTGGTTCCAGGAAGTCAAGAGAGGGGTGGAGCAATGGACTGGATCACATCTGCAATTAGGAGATCTGAACACAGTTCTAATGCGCATAAAAAGAAGAAATGGAAGCAATTCCAGAGAGAGCTGGTTGCAACAACTATTGTGGGGGCAATGATTTATCATACTTGGAAGGCTAGGAACTAGATGTTGTTCAAAGGCACACATATACGGGCGACAGAAATAGTTATACAGATAAAAAGAGAGATTTTGGCTAGAGTAGACATACTTAGTTTATCTAAGAAAGCTCATAGATGTAGGAACTTAGTACAGCAGTTGCAAATGTAATTAGTTCTCTTTAAGTTGTTTTTGTATGTTGGAGGCTTGATCTTTGTATGTTTGTGAGATCAGGTGCTCTTTAAGTGTAAGGATTTGTTTTGTTAATGGTAATGTTTACATGGTTACCAAAAAAAAATCATGTTTCATGGTTTTAAAAAAAAGTAGCTCCAAATATGTTGCAAAAATTATAACCAAACACAACTTCAACTTCATGTCCAAACACCTACTTAATAGTGTGAATTTCACTATCAATATAAAAGTTAAACTCTCTTACATTTTGCAAAATCAACCATGCTTTTGGGTGGAAACTTCCGAGGCAATATTGTTGGCAACTTGACATTATTTACAATTAGGCACCAAATTTTAATCTCTAGAACTACGAAAACGATTCAAATCATGCACTTAAGTATGGTAAAGTTGAATTGCGAACAAGTCCAGCTTCCTCGTGTAGCCCCCACATTAATTTGACTTTTTAACTTAAGAAAAATTTGATGTTAAGGGATTGTGAATTTGTTTGGTACATTAACCTAAATGGTGGAAGTAGATAGCTTTCCCAATTAAGAATAACAAGTTGAGAAAGAACTAAAAAATTTCAAGTGCTAAGAAAAATTGATTTGTTAAGAGTAGTTGAAAGGTAATTAAGGTATCGTAGGATTAGGATTCCCTAAAAGAGATTTTGCATATTATGTAGAATAGAATTACATCCTTAGCTCTTAAGAAATCGAATGCACTTAAATGCGATCGATTACTCTTGCGGTCATATGGTTTAAAAATGTTTTCCTAAACAAAATCCAAAAGTTCGATTAAAAAAAACATAAAGATTCAATTCTTTTGGGACAGAAAGTAAATAATAAAACCATCACAATCTCAAATCTCGTCTACACGCTATGGAACCATTCAAATAATACTATCAACGAAATTAATTATCCTGCAATTCACACCAAGGGATTCATTTGCTTCGCACAGATGGTTAAGAATCTACCAGATCTCGAAAAGCAACAAAATTAATTAAATTGAAGTAGAATACGTTATAATTCATATGGTGAAGCCACATGGTTATAAGGATTAAGGATGTCAACTTATCACTCTTCGTTGAAAAATTACATTGTGTACATAGGTAAAATATTACGTTTTAGATTATGTTGCTCGGACACTTCGAAAATTTCGTCGGATACGTGTCGGATCCTCCAAAAGTAGTACTCTCTCCGTTTCAATTTAGATAAGCTAGTTTGACTCGGCATGGAGTTTAAGAAGAAAAAAAAAGATTTTTGAAACTTGTGGTCTTAAAAGCTTAAGGAGTAAAAGCTTTGTGGGGCCATGTCATTTGTATAGTTTTAAAAGCTTCTAATTAAGGTAAAATGAGTAAAATGAGAGTTTAAAGTTGAATTATTTCCAAATTTAGAAATGTGTCACTTATTTTGGAACGGACTAAAAAGGAAAGTAGCTCATTTAATTTGAAACAGAGGGAGTATATTTTTGGAGGATCCGATACGAGTGTGGCATCATTTTAGAGAGTCTGTGCAACATAGGTTTTAGAGGTATATAACACATATTAAACACTCTTTGTTGTAAAAAAAATTCACATTTTTAAAATTTGAACACCTTTAGAAAAATTCCTAGCTTCGCCACCCGTTCACGTACTATTAACGTAAAGCATCGTCCATATAATTAGCATATGAATTTTCATGTAAGAACTTTAATGAAGGAATATTCAATAATACTACTCGGATAATTAAAGGATAGCATTGGAGTATAAAACTAAAATCAAAATCACTACTCAGATTTTTATTTAACACAGTGCAAATATGGATAATACTTGAAGATGATCATATTGTTGGGTTTTTTAAGCTTACTTAGCTTAAAAGAGGGTGAATTGGAAATAGAGGGAAAATAAAATATTTGAAATTTCCTTCTTGACAAAGGAACATTTTCTCATATTGAGGAGGAAAAGTCTTTTTATGGGTACGTATACAACTGCTCTTCTTCTAGCTCTTAAAGAGTTAAGAAGAAGGCAAGCCTCGCGCCTTCGTCGTTGCTCGGCTTCGGTCGATTGATTGATTAATTTTTTGGACCAAATTTATTTGTTAATAGTAAATATTATCCCGTTTTAACGTAATATTATTAAATATCGAAAATTATTTATTAAAGTAATATTATTAAGTATTCATTTGTTGTAACGGAAAATTAATCCGGTTTTCATTTGCGTAAATGATCGTTTACGTTACTGACCTCTTCGTTTGAACTCAACAGGTTGGGGCTATAAATAGCAGTCCATTCTCTCATATTTACCATACGAAATTCTGAATTCTCCTTCTTTCTTCTGCATTGTTTTAACTAAAAAGAAAGCAATATTAAGTGTGATTTGCTACTGATTATTGTGCTCGCTGAAACACTGAGGTTGGAAGTACCGCTACACCAGTATGTAATTTGTTCTATTCTGGGAGAAAATAATCCACAACCTCGGGTGCTAGCTAGGAGGGGATTAAATTCCTTAAGGAAATACTGTAAATTCAGTGGGCTCGGATTAAATTCATTTTTCTTTTACATTTCTGTTTATATATTATTTTATCTTCTCCAAATTATTTTACAAATATAGTTTACTAACACATATTGCCAGATAACTGTATATAACATATGGCTGTATACCTTCCTAGAGATAGGCAAATAAGGATAATCACGATAAGGATAAATATATAGAACTTTAATCTCTCTTTTTTTCCTTCTATTTTTTCCAGAATAAAATGCACCTTGACTTTCTTCAATCATGTCATCATACTATCATAGCAAGGTGCAGGAAAATTCATATGGTGGAAATTTTCTTCTTCTCCTCTCTAGAGAAGCAACAATTCATTCACAAGGTGTATATATATCGTTGCTTTTTTCGATAGCCAATATTAAACATCTAAAATCATACTTACGTTACATTATTTATTTACGAATATTATATAATTCAAAAGTTCAAGTGCGATCAATATTTTTCTTACTTATCAATTCTGAATGCTTTTTTTTCTCTTGAAGTAATAATCCATGTCTCAAAAAGTTTATTCAAAGATTATCAAGTTAATTTTGACTAACGTTACAAATGTATTTCTTTGTTATTTTGATATGAAAAAAATCTCTTATTTCATGTAGTTTATAACCAATATTTGAAACATACTTTAAGAAAATGAATCAATTTTATCTGAACTTTGATATTGATTAAGACCATTGGAAAGGGTCTAGTAATTTAGATGAAGAGGATATTAGGTGAAATCTAAGTATATGTTAAGCCAATATTCACTTTAATCTCCGTTGGACAAAAAGGGAAAAAAAAAAGGTAATTAGTCACTAGTAGTAGTGAGAGACTCAAATATTTGAATTGGCCTACAAGGTAAGTAGGAAGGGTCCCACCTCCAAAAACAAAAAGTGAAACTTTAATTTCTTTTCCACATGATAACTGGGGTAGAAGACAGAGTCTAAACACCTGTTCCTATTAAACTGCCCTTCACTCAATTTGTTCTTATTGGTAAACCTGAAAAGACACTAAAGTTGAAGAGAAAATATGTGGAAGAACAACTTTCTGGTGGTGGGAAAGGGATAGCAGCAAAAAGGATCATCTCTCCAATTTACTTTCCTGTCTTGAACCAAAGGTCTTTCAGAAACAGTTTTTCTATTCCTCCGGTAGGGGTAAGGTCTGCGTACACACTAGCCTCCTAGATTGATATTTTATTGGGTCGTTGTTGTTGTGTCTTCTGCTTTATCTATGAAATTCAACTCTAAGAAGGGAAGTCAAGAAGATCATAATACAGAAGACAAAATGACTTGTTTTACTGAAATTTCAAGTTTGATGATCACTATTTCAATTGTGATCATTTTAGCCTATCCTTTTCTACAATCTTCCCCTCCTACAGAAGCAACAAAATCATCTAATTCAAATCATGATCCTTTGTTCAGCTATAGACAATCACCTCATTTCAAGAACTCACCTAAATGTGCAATATTTCCCACAAATTCTATTAGCAAAAAAATCTGCAATCCTTCTTTAGTCCATATTTCCATGACCCTTGACACTAAATTTCTCCGCGGCTCGGTTGCTGCAATTCATTCAATCCTTCGACATTCTCACTGCCCAGAAAATCTTTTCTTCCATTTTATTTCCTCATATAGTACAAATCTTGAACCCCACTTGGAAAAAATCTTCCCTTCATTGGCATTCAAGATTTACTATTTCAATCCAGGGATTGTGCGGAACAAGATTTCTTCTACCATAAGGGAAGCTCTTGAACATCCATTGAATTATGCAAGGAATTACTTAGCTGAACTCTTAGAGCCTTGTGTTGAAAGAGTCATATACTTGGATTCTGATATCATTTTAGTTGATGACATTTCCAATCTGTGGAAAACAAGTCTTGGATCAAGAACTGTGGGATCACCTGAGTACTGCCATGCTAATATCACCAATTATTTTACTCCTAAATTTTGGTCTCACAAGAAGTTTTTTCGTGTATTCCGTGGCCGGAGACCTTGTTACTTCAACACAGGTATGATGATAATATTTTCTTTTTATTTTAAGTCTAATTATTTATGATCACATTGGATAGTCTTTCTAAAGAATGGACTTCAACCAATATGCAAGAATCTAGCACTTTGACAAAATGCAAATAGTAATACTAATAGTAAAGAATATACATGTATGTCCATCCTTCCACCTAATTTACCATGTTTCAACAACCATATATACATGGGCGGCTAAAAAACATGCCGGGCCTAAAGCCAAAATTTAATATGAGACCTAAATTTTTAAAAGAAAGTTATAAGATTATTTTTATTTGAAATCTATTCTTCTAAGTTTTTGAGATACAAAATTGTTAATAATTTTTTATAATCGATTTGTCTAATAAATCATTTTCAATTGATAATATGACCAATTCATCATCTAATTTTTGGAGAAATTATTGATCTAAGATAAGATTTATAGAACAATAAAAGTATAGAACTATTGAAAGCTTAAAAGTATTGTTGAACACTGGAATTAATGAAATCTTGGAGAAAGAAAATAAGTAAGAATATCAAAGAGAAAGACATAAAATATATAGGGGTTTCTGAAATATGAACAGATTAGAAATAAGAAAGATTGACTTGAACAAATTAAGGAAGAGGGTTAATGTTTTACACGTCATATAATGAAGGACTAAAAAGTGAAAAATTGAAATGTTAGGAAAATTATTTATCTATCCATTTTTAAGTAAGTTAAGTTGTTACTTTATTTATATATCTAAAAAGTTTTCTTTCTTTTTATATTAAAAACTCTACTTTTATATTAAAAGTACTAAATATTATTTTTTAACTACCTATAAACTTATTGTTTTTAGAAAAATGGGGCTTCCTAAATTTGGTGGCTTAAGGCACAAGCCTTACCTTCTATGAGGGTATTTGGCTAAGCTTATAAGCTGGTCAAACTAACTTATAAGCACTTTTAGGCTTATCTACGCGTTTGGTAAAGTTAAAAGTGTTTATAAGTCAAAAATAAGCCATAAGCTGGTCACCCCCAGCTTATGAATTTTTAGCTTATAAGCANACTTATATCTATGTGATTGTGTATTAATCTTTGAATTGTACGTAATAAACGAGGACATATCAAATTTTTGGTGTATTGCTTTATAAGTGTTGTGGTGATGAAGACAATGTTTGTTTCTCTTCAAATAAATTGTCTTATTTAGGTTTATTTTTTACTGAGAAATATTTGTCAATTTATTGTTATTATAACTTATGATTATATGTTTATCATAAATAAATTATCTTATCTAAGCACAATTATATTTAAAATAAAATGACAAATATTTTGTATTTGAATCGATCCGGAATCTAAAATTTTGAAGAAATTACCACTACTAAAAAAATAGATTTTAGCGATGGACAAATTCTGTAGCTAAACAGAAAAATTCGTCGCTAATCTCATTTAGCGATGAATTATCAAAAGATTCTGCTAGCTACGAGCATTTTAGCGACAGATTATCGACGACGTTCGTAGCTAATTCCAGTTTTTTTTGTAGTGTACGCCCTTATAAGTGTAAACAGTTCTAAGGTTATTTAAGTCATTTTAACAGAAAAAGAGCTTATCAACACTTTTTTATCAAATACTGCAGCAACTTATTATCAATTTCAGCAATTGTACCCAAACACGTAACTGCTTATTTATTAAATCAATTTCAGCACCTAATGTTTATCAGCTACTTCAAATCAGCTAATCCAAATGGGCTCTATAACATTGGAGCCGGCCCTGCAACTTATTTACCGCACTGTTTATTTTACGGAATTAGGCTTACTATATATAGTTTCCTCTTGTTGCAGAATACTTAACCTGATGTTTTAGAAATATTCCTCCCTCTGTTCGTTTTTACTTTTCATGTTTCGTTTTTCGGGAGTCAAACTACATAAACTTTGACCAACGTTTTAACATGTATTTTTTTCACCATATAGATATAAGAAAAATTATAGCACTTGTCGTATAGTTTCCGAATATCTATATTTTAGTTTTAAAATATTAAAAAAATCTAGCAATTTAGCTTCAAAAATTAGTCAAATTGACTTACATAACAAGTAAAAGTGAATGGCAGGAGTATACATTATACACTCTAACATATTAATTTTTCAGGTGTGATGGTGATTGATTTGAGTAAATGGAGAAAGTACAAATACACAAGGAAACTAGAAAGATGGATGAAGATTCAGAGAGGTCATAGAATATATGAGCTTGGTTCATTGCCACCATTTTTATTGGTGTTTGGAGGGAAGATAGCACCAATACACCAAAAATGGAACCAACATGGACTAGGAGGGGATAATTTGAGTGGAAGTTGCAGAAATATACATGGTGGTCCTGTTAGTTTGTTGCATTGGAGCGGAGGTGGCAAACCTTGGCTAAGGCTTGATTCGGCAAATTCTTGCCCTCTCGACGAAATCTGGGCTCGCTATGACTTGCATGCACCTCCTATGTGACCAGAGATTTGATAGAAATTAATAAGATTTTCATGCCAACCATTTTTTGTGAATCATCTTATCAATAATTTATAATGCTATTAAGTTTAAATTGTGTGCACTAGTAATCTATAATTTTTAAGGACAGTACATTAAGAGCCCGTTTAAAAATAAGAATTTTTTCACTTTTTCGAATTTTTTTTACTTTTATTCGAAATCAGTGTTTGGCCATAAAATTTTCAATTTTCACTTGAAGATGAATTTTGGAATTTTTTAAAAATTTGATAAACTCCAAAAAGTTGTTTTTCAAAAAATTCACTCAGATTACTCACAAAAATTTAAAAACAACCCAAAATTATATTCATGTCCAAACACAACTCTGATTTTCAAATATCATTTTCACTTGGAAAAAAAAATCTCTTTTTTTCTTTTTCTGGTAATTTTACAATTCTTATGTCCAAACGCCCACCAAGTCCGGCTTGAATAGATTACAAAGAATTTATTTTAGGAAAAGTACATCAAGTTTTCAAATTAACCCTAAAATCAAGTGTGATCAAAAGTTACTCCCTCGGGTCCATAAATGACTAATTTGCTTTTATATTTTGGTCCAAAATAAGTGTCTATTTATATAACCAAGAAAAAATTCAATTTGTTTTTACAAAATTACCCTTATGTACATATTCCTAAAAAGTTTTCTTACTCCTCACATTAAATATTTAATTAATGGTAATTTGGTCATACTATGTATTTTTATATAGAATTTAATCTTAATAGTCGTGCCAAAAGCAAATTGGTCAACCTCAGGGAGTACATATTAGCGGCCTCCAAAGGTTTAAAAAAATCTTATTTAAGGAATCCAAATATGAACGTTTAAACAGCCAGACTTCTTGCATAATCATGCTTAAAGTCAAATGTAATTCCAAATCTTGCAAATTAATTTCTTGTAAAATGTAAATTGTAATAAATTTTCTTAACAGGAGAGTGAATAATATTGATGGTAGTAGTTTGGATGAATCAGTCAATTTTCTTGACAGGAGAGTGTATATTGTCGCATCTTATGTTTATAATCCAGCCACGAGGCAGAGTTTGGCTCTAATCAACATGACGGACCCATGTGTTGGATTTATTTGTAAGGTAGATGACCCAAATAAAGATGTCATTTCCTTTACCTTAGTATGCCTCTTGTTTGGGAGTTACGGTCCACTATAACAATTGAAAGTTTCGCTTCTGAGACTAATGTGTGGACTGCTAATATTAAAATTTTTGAACCTCTTGGACTGTGGCTGCCGATATTGGATAAGAAATCGTCATCAGCTTGTGGTGCCATCGATGGAGTATTATTCTGGTGGCTCCAGAATGGACGACACATCACTGCTTATGATAGTGTCGACAAGAGTTTCTGGGCTTTGGAATTGCCTAATGATGAAGAGAAGGTGCCCGGAGGCAGTTATTATCTTGGAATATCGAGTAGGGCTTTATTATGAGTGGCATCAATGGCCACGTCTTCTATAGACTATCAAGTGGGGTTAGCTAAATCCTTGATTTGATCCAAATTAGACGAGACGAGGAGTACCAAAAAGTGGAATTTCAGTCAAAGCTTTAATTTAGAAAAATATGGGTTACTGATAATTAAAACGGGATAAAGAAAAGTGATTTTGCTAACAATAAGATGGACAGAAGAAAACAAAGTAAACCAGTATATTCAGATGATCTTTCGCGTCCTTACAAATGATCAATTCTCTTCTTTTTATAGTTATCTTAAAGATATACGTTTTGCCTTTGTCATAATAAGGTTATTATAGACAATTAAAGGCATTAAATGCTACGTTATATAATCATTGTAATACAAATTCTCTAACGTTTCTAGTATTTACTGCTTATTAAATATTGTATCTGTACTCTCTTGTGCTGTCAGATTCATTCTCCTTGATTTTTGAATATAAATAGGTACAAACGTTCAGTCTTTTGAATAACTGCTCGTACCTCTACTTGTACCTTCTGTTCGTATCTATTGCAACTCGTGCCTTTTTGCCAATCATCACTTTTTGACTAGCCTTCTTGTCATAACACGTCATCTTCTAGTCACTTCAATATGTAAACTCGATTTTCCCAATACAGATAGTCCCCCCACTTGCCATTTATTCATCAGTGGATTTTATTAAAGCGGGAATGTTACCGCTATTAATGCTACGGTAAAATCGACGCTTCAATTGTCACCTCCATTTAATGCTTATCACACGTGGCACCATTTTATTGGCTCTGCAACTTTGCAGCACTTTTTAAGGCTTTTTTACGGCTTCACTAATCACGAAGCGACAATTCTCATTATGACCTTTCCATCATTGCACCTTTCCTTTGACGGTTGCTTCTTAGTATAAACATAGTTTTCGTCTTTATCCTTATCACATAAAGTTCTCTGAATATTCAATTCTTGAATTTTTGTTTGCTTCCTCCTCGTACTATCATGTCTTCACCAAACTCTAACCCTAGAAGAGTCCCCATAGTTGATAACTTTCCTCTTGCCCCTAGCAGGAGTAGAAGAGGAGGTAGACTTCGTAATTTAGGGTCTTCTTCTATACGTGGTTCTTCTCTTCCTTCATCTAGTTCCAGTCCTTCCTTTAAAACCAGAGGTTCTTTCTCACAAAGATCTTCTTCCAGGGGTAAGGAACCCGCTGAACCTGTTCGTGAACCTACAGTAGAAGAAATAGTTCCTGCGGAACTATCTTTCTACAACAATAGGGAGTCCCTTAGGAATCAAGTATCCTCTTTAGATCGTGCTGATATCTATCCAACTCAGATCACAGAGGGTCTGATTTCTTTAGTTCGTAAAGACTGTCATTGGAGTCATGACTTCCCTATCATAATTCCCAACGCGAATCAAAGAATCACCTCTTATTTAATTGGATTTTCTTTTGTTTATATATACTCTTTCACATTAGGATTCAAACCTGCTGTTGATCCTGTTATTCTCGAATTCTGTCATTTTTTTGTTGTTTGCATAAGTCAAATTGGCCCTATAGTGTGGAGGGTTATTGTCTGTTTGAGGCATTTGACTAACATGGCCGGTGTGCCTTTCACTTTTACTCATTTAATTCACCTTTACTCTCCCAGACTTTTTCGCCAAGGCGTTTTTACTTCAGTAGCAAGGAGCAAAAGAGTTCTGGTTAGTCCAGAAGATGAAAGAGACTGTGGCTGGTATGCCATGTTTGTTACTGCCCCCACTGTTGTTTTAGTGGGTGATGAAAATGTCCCCTTCCCCAAGAAGTGGAATTTTGCACGTGAGTTTTCTTTTTTAATAACTTTCTCGTACCTTTTTCTTCAATTTTGATGATCATTATTCTCATTTTCCTTTTCCTTTTTAGCAACCATGGGAATTATTGAAGAAATTCCCAATTTTCGTGGTTGAGTAGGAAAGTTACTGAATACACCCCCAATGGAGGGTAGGTCTTGGAAGCATCTTTCCCAACGATTTGGTTGGAAAGTGAAAACTCATGGTAAGAGTTTTTTT